GAAAAGATGTCTGCTTTCTCCGTATAGTGTCCGTCAAACACCTCGGGTGCCATCCATGCACCTGATCCTGCGACTGTATTCATGTAAATATTCATCATATAAGRCACAAGGACTTCGTCTGATCGTCGGGCATGTCTTGTTTGAGAGCTGCAAACTCTCTGGCGAGACCAAAGTCCCCCACCTTGACGCACTCATCACCGGTCAGTAATACGTTTTCTGGCTTCAGATCTCGATGAACGATGTCCTTGGAGTGTAGATAACACATAGCATCGGCCAACTCTTTCATCCATCGTAGGTTAGTATCGCTATCACTCGGTCTTGCTAGACGCCTGTTGAGATTTCCGCCTTCACAGTACTCCATCAAMATCAGAACAGMGGTTAGTCCAAGAAATTCGGTTGTATCGGATCTGTAGAAATGTACGATATGCGGGTGGCTGCACTGGGTCAAGATACCGATCTCATTTCTCACCATTGTAACTGCATTCTTGTCAGAATTTTCAACTTCGATTCTTTTCAGCGCGCAAGCACGGCCTGTCCTGCCATTCTCTCTCACCTTCCACACTTTGCCAAAAGCACCTTCCCCTAGTAATTTTTCTTTAACGTAGTTTTTTCCTTGTAAGACAAGAACATTGAGCGCACGTAGCAAGCCATCCAAGTATAAAAAAGTTTAAAGTTTACAACTGAAAGCCTTCTAGCACATTATATGTCTAGCGTCGCTAGTAAATAAATGGAAACCGGAAAAGTTGGACTTTTCTTGGAATTTCGGAACTCATGCCCAGTGCCTCTCGTCTTGACGAAAGCTACCGATTGTCAGCTTCDGGACGAGCGACGTGGGATCAAGCCGGAATTATATAGTATTAATCAGGGTTCACAGAAGAGGAATCGGGATGGTATGAATAAATCCATGAGGGGTTAAGGGATTATTTATGGGATTGGGGATCAAAATACATGAGTTTTTGGTATCTTGGATCACACTTTTGTGTTCAAATTTGTGTGAAGTGACACAGGGTCAWTACCTGAATAGATCCCTATCCAAATGATCTTGGATGCSAAATACAAAAGAAAACCCTCGTCACGTCATCACGAGTGTGTAGTGACACAGGGTCAATACCTGAATAGATCCCTATCCAAATGATCTTGGATGCCAAATACAAAAGAAATCACTCTTTTCTCTATCGGGGATATTCGTTCCGCTTCTATGTGAAGACTATAATATATCACAAGACGCGGTGCATAGACCAAAATAAACCTGCTTATATAACACCTGAYCACACCACCATCATCCAGCGATCAGCAGCAATGTAATGACCACAACAGGTCTAGAGAACACTAAATTGCTGAAAAAAAGACGAAGCGTCCCTAGTTCTTCTCTGCCATATACTTTAACACAGGGATCCCAACAGGGAATATTGCATTGYTTGCTGAATTAATTCYCCACTCTACATGTTACATTTTTATATCTCCCCCTGTGGACTCCCTGTGTTTTTATCCCTAACCTCTGCATGATCAAAAGGGCCATTTCCAAGAAAGGTTTTTGTATCGTATCAATTGTATACCTCGATGTATATGCATGAATTCCAAGGTCGATTTTTTTCTCCCCGCTACGCCGCATGACTTCATTCAGTTCGGTTAACGTTTTCTTTTGCGGTTTATTTTTTGCCAAATGTCACTAACCATTCTATCACCTAAACAAAYAATATAAGCTGTACAGTTCGTAGGATAACTGACTCTTTTGAAAACCATTTGAACGACGAAGACTGAAAATTCAAAATGAGAAAAGGAAATTTCTTGGAATAGACCCCTTTCGAATTCCAAATTACCGCTGTGTTCCTTGATTACAGACTCATTTGCACAGGGTTAGCCTCGAGTTTGTGCAGAATATTCACGTGTTCCAGTCAAGGTCCGTCGAGTTTCAAAGTGTTTGTATTGTTGAAGTTGTGCATTCTTTACTTTACCGTTGGTATTTGTGAATAATTAAACACTGATGCGAGGCTAACCCTGTGCAAATGAGTCTGTAATCAAGGAACACAGCGGTAATTTGGAATTCGAAACTGGTCTATTAGGCCCAGCAAATTATGTGCCGAATCTAATGCAAATGAACAAAACCTAGTATTGTTTGAATTCATTTGCATTAGACTCGACACATGTAAATTTGGACGCTTATTAATTAAACTGGGCCTACATTACTCAGTGGGAGTTTAGTGAGTAATTGTGGGGTACTGTAGACTGAACAAACAACTCCGCTTTGATTGGATAACCACCAATGGTTTTTATTTATTTACCAGCTTTAGTCCAAGATTTCTATATTCTATTGATTCTATTCTTTAGTTAACAACATTCTTCTGATTCTGAAAAACATTATCTAAAAAGTCGTTTTAAAAGTTTGGTGTAAGACTACTTTTGTGATACATAGTGCAAAAAACTGAACTGAGCTTAAATATGTATAGCCAATAAGATGAATTCACAGAAATTCCGAAGTAGTAGCTAGCCAACTCGTATATAGACTCCGGCCTTGCAGYATATTCCCAATGCAGTCCAATCCAGAAGACAAAACAATAGAATCTTACTGTCACGAGAACTGAAATTCCTCTGAGTTGAACAGCTCTGCTGGGAATTGCTGAAACCGGTCTATAAGATGAAGCATGCAAGGAGCGTTCTTTTGTAGTTCTTTTATAAGTGGTGCTAATTTRTTATATAGGGATAATCCATTAAGAGCAACATGAGCTTGTCGGCTGAGTGGTTTCTTCTGCATTGGGCCTGATGTTACTGAGGATTGATTTCACCTTTTCAAGTACTTCTTCCGCATTGGGTCTGTCCCTGCGGTTGCAATCTAGCATATCACGGAGCAGCTCCCTCGTAGAGCGTGGCAATCCATCCAGCGCCACCATGATATCAGAATCACTTTTCATCGCCATGCCAAGGCSGATATCTTGGCCAYGGGTGTTGACAAATGCTCCGAAGTATTTCTTGCCACCGACGATCAGGCTCTTTCGCTCAACAATGGAGTAGAATATCGTACCGAGCGAAAAGATGTCTGCTTTCTCCGTATAGTGTCCGTCAAACACCTCGGGTGCCATCCATGCACATGATCCTGCGACTGTGTCCATGTACGTAGTCATATAGGACACAAGGGCTTTGTCTGATCGTTTAGCATCGTCTTGTTTGAGAGCTGCATACTCTCTGGCGAGACCAAAGTCCCCCAACTTGATGGAATCTTGAGCCGTCAGTAGTACGTTTTCTGGCTTCAGATCTCGATGAACGATGTTATTGGAGTGCAGATAACACATAGCATCGGCCAACTCTTTCATCCATCGTAGGTTAGTACCGCTTTCACTTGGTCTTGCTAGACGATTGTTGAGATTTCCGCCTTTACAGTACTCCATCAAAATCAGAACAAAAGTTGATCCGGAAATCTCAGTTGTATCGAGACCGCAGAGTCGTACAATATGATCGTGTCTGCACTTGGCCAATATACGAATCTCCTTTATCACCACGTTTACTGCCTCGTTATTCTCAACTTCGATTTTTTTCAGCGCATAAACACTCCCTAATCTGCCATTCTCTTTCACTTTGTACACTGTTCCAAAAGCGCCTCTTCCTAGCACTGCTTCTTCGACGTAGTTTCTTTGGTCAACTTTGAAAACATTTACTGTTGGATTTTGTTGGACTGTATACATTTTCAGAACCTTGAATTATTGAACTTTTGACTTGAATTTGTAGATTTATCGCAGTGCTCTCGCCCTTGCTTGTGCTGAAGTAGAGGATTCGAAGCGAAAATGAAAACTTATAATTTCTTAGAATAGGAACCTATCCGAAAACAATTCCTAGAATTTTTTAATTTATTGCATTCGCGTCACGTGACCTTAACCTAGTCTTCTCTCAAATAATATTACAAGAATTCCACTCTACCAACGCTTTCTAATGGTGTCTATGTCGATACCAATGATACAGTGCATTGTAAAACAAGGGCATTAGGGGAAGCCATACGAAAATGAAACATTTWAAAAATGTATTAGTTAAAGCCTTCTAGCACATTACGTCTAGCGTCACTAGTAAATAAAACGAAACTGAAACTTGCAATTTTTTTTGGAATTTTGGAACTTATGCCCAGTGCCTCTCGTCTTGACAATATACACCTCCAATTAACCAATGAGCGCGCGCATTCTTAGGAAGTACACAAGTTTTATTTGCTAAATATATATGTATATATATATATACAGCGAAATGCAGAAATTCTGATCCTTTTGTACATCTATACAAGTATATCAAAAGTATATCAGAAATTATCGGATATCATCGCTGATATTTTTTTCCGGGTTCCCATAATTTCTAATATACTTTTGATATCCTTTTATGTATATACAAAAGGATCATAATTTCTACATGATATTGCTGTATACTATGCGGTATTAAAGCTGGTAGCTTTGGCCGTAAAATACTCTTAACTGAGTTTTAAATCTTTTACTAACCGAGTTTCATTCCCCTTCACTGGATTTCAAGGATATAATCAATACTTGAGAGATCGAGAACTTCAGAACAGTTAGCGAAAAAAAGGCAACGCCCCCTCYCCCTTCGCTTCTTTCTTGCTCGGTTTAAATTCACGCTCGTTCCAAAGTTCCTCCAAAACCCCGGTTTTTCTCCAAACCCACAAGAACGCCTGCTTTGCAGGCTAGGTCAGTAAATGATTTAAAACTCAGCTAAGTTTACGCGTTAAATAAAAGCATTCTACATATTTACTTCAACAATTTGTAATTAGCAAAATTGAAGAAACTGAAGTTTTTGTTCACTCCTTTATTAGTTCCAAGCTCGATTTTTGTAACAGTTTGTAATATGGCATACCTAAATACAATGGCTCCTAAATTGTGGCATGACCTCATGGCTTGTGGAAAATTAGATCTATTTCCAACATCAGTACTTTTAAGTCTAAATTGAAGACACAGCTCTTTAACGAAGCCTATGCTATTTAAAACATATATTCTAAGATGCCGGATAGTTTTATATATAACTTTATATCTAATTTTATATTTAATTTTTTTATTATTTAGCGCTTAGCGCGAGAGATGAATAAGCGCTCAATACATTTTATATTATTATCATTAATACAACAAGTAAGCGCATAAAATTCCAAACAATCACAGTCTTTCAATCAAACATTTGGCATATCTGTCTTTAATTTAGTTTTGGGAATTTTTTTTAAGAAAGAGGACGTGACTGGAAAGAAATTGACCAAGAAAAAAGTTGAATAATCTGGAAGATAAGAGTCATGAGTCATGAGTCAAATAAGAAAATTAATAATATTTTATATTCTAGTTGTTGGAATACCACCAAACGATCTGGGATAGAATATTGCTACTTCGAAGCGTTTGGCACCGTTCAGCTCGCACCGTTTGTATAGAAGGATGCAGTGGCCACCATCTACTGAGCAAGGGGGGGGGGGGGGGGCCGGGAAAATAGCACCGGGGATGCTCGTCGGAAATTTTCAAAAAGACCCCTAAAAGATACCGGAAGTCTTTTAAAAAGGGCGTGGCTGAATGATTTTTAACCCCTAAGAGATACCACAACAAATAATATTAAATTTTATATAAAAAGCGCCTAGGATAAGCCATATCGATACGCGCTTCTCTCCTTTTCCGACACCATAAGAGATACCAGAAAATGCTGATTTTCAAAAATCCCCCCCCCCCGGGCAATTAGATTACTGGACGTCGCTCGACCAATTACGTACAGCTCGCGAAGTCTATATTTAAGCCTAAACTTATACTAAAATCTAATAATTAGTCTAGTATAATAGCTGTAATAGCTGTAGTAGCTGCGGTAATTAGCTGACAGATACGACGGCACTCCCTGTGGGTAAACAAAATTTCTTGGATTTCTTAGCCCCGTGGTGTTGAAGAACTGCAGTACTTGAGCGGCGTTGGGCCTTTTATGCGGGTTGTAATCTAGCATAGAACGCATCAGGTTCCCCAAGT